GATGCATGGATGCATGGATGCATGGATGCATGGATGCATGGATGCATGGATGCATGGATGGAAGGAAAGAAGGAATATAGAAGAAAACAAACAAAGGAGTCTCTAAGTTTTACAAAATGATTTTGATTCTGTTCGGTCCTTTCGAAGTAGACTTTCGATCATGCGCAGAACATTATACGTTCCCTCGGCCTCCCCCCTCAGTCTCTTGATACATCTTCTTATTATCTCTCCAATACAGAGCATAGCACAAGCAAGACAAGGTGTAAAAGTATCTCTTCTTCTTGTCAGCTTTACGAATCCTAGCAGCAAGGATTTCAAAAACCAGTGCTGTGATCCTTTGTGCATGCAGTGTAATTATTTCTTCGAGATTTGCTTGAGCGAAACTACACCAGACAACTGTGTCTTCTCAGCTAAAACCAGGACATGGGATAACACTATCGACATCGTGTTTAGGCAAGGAAAAGGACAGCTTGGAAACTCGCACGATAATCCTTTAGTAAAGGAACTGTTGTCTTGGAAGGTGATGCATTTTCTTTAAGAGAAATATTACCAGTTGCATAAGGGCTTTTTATTGAAGAAATAGAAAACGCGCGTGCTTTGTGTAGTTATAAAGCAAGAAAGAAGCGTTAGGAGAAGCAAAACGCGTAGCGGAGTGCTTCTTGACACTTCTTGAGTGTTCTGCAAATCAACACGTGCTTAATATCAAGCTCCACACAGCACATCAAGCAAGTTATTTTCTTTTTTATAAAACACAAATTATAACAATAACCGTTATTTAGGATACGAATGATGCAACTGAAAGTGCGTGTGCCCACGTAAAGCTTGCGCTCCCAATTAATGAGAAAGTTAAGCAGTTTTTTTCTGATTGGTTATTATGATACGTAGTCTCCCACACAGCCGCTTTCAGTGTCGTCACGCAACGCTTTCCTACTCAGGGGAGAAATCGTTGCGTGACGACACTGAAAGCGGCTGTGTGGGAGACTATATGATGCGTGGAAGCCCTGGAATATGTGATTACTACTGGGCATGTCATGCAAACTATAATATGTAGTCTAACACAATTGTTTTGCACTGGGCAAGCCGTTTGAAGTTATTTAAAATAAAAGATATCTCTGATAAATGCAATTCAAATAAGTTACGCGCGCTTTTAAAAAACAGAAAGTGGGTGTCTTACATTGAGTTTTACTTAATCTGATCATTATTTCATTTACAGGGGAGGCTTAAGGTTTCGATAAAAGTTAAGGATTATGACACATTAACTAGCGCTGACTTGGTAGACAAGTATTCTATTGATATTCCTGTCACTCCTACCGCTGGTGTTCTGCAAGAGTCATGGACAGAAAGAGCTGTAAAGGTAAAAAGAAACTCTAAATAAATATATTATCGAAGTAAAATGGGTAGATTTTTGCCAATGTCACTTTTCAATTTCAAAACTAAGGGAGATATTTAATATTCGTTAGGTTATTTCAAGATTTGAAGATTATTTTAGATTGTTTTGAAGATTTCAATCTCCTGAGAATTGCATCTCCATGGACTGCAAGGGGCCGCTCTATAGAGGCTTAAACTTTGTACCATCACATGATGGCAGCCATGACAGGAGGCACAACAATAGAGTATTTTCCTCCTCGCAAACTGAAATTTTTTGTCATGTAAATCGGATTAGGCCAGATTCAATTGTTTTTGCCTACTGCCATGGTTACCATAACGTGATGGTGCGAAGCCGCTATAGACTGCGTATGTATTTCGAGTCTGTATAATTTTAATCTTGTATCAACAGGGTATTCCAAGTTCAATGGTATTACGGTACAGCGTCCAGTGCAATAGGGATTATTATGGACCTCAATGCACGACATATTGCATTGCACGTGACGATAGCCGTGGTCATTACACATGTAACTTACAAACCGGAAGTAAAATGTGTCGATCTGGTTGGTACGGAAGCGATTGCCTCACATACTGTATGCCACGGGATGATGACGTCAACGGACATTACACATGTCATCCAACCACGGGAAGTAAGGTAATGTCTAAACTTTATATCAACGATTAAGGCGCGATTACACGGAGCAGTTTTCTCTGCAACATGTCATGCAACATCGTTGCGGCACATTTGCATGGAGCATTGCAGCGTGAAACTTACAGTGCAATCTGAAAAATTGTTGGGAGACAAGTTGCAGCAAATGTTGCGAAAAGTAAAATTCGTTTCTACTTTTGGCAACAATTGTCTCGGTTGCATCATGTAAAAACTCTTGCAACTTGTGTCGCAACGCTGTTGCAAGACAAGTTGCAGAGAAAGTTGCTCCGTGTAATTGCCCCTTTAGAGGTAAGTGTAGATGGGCTGTTGGTGTGTAAATTGGCCGGCTTCATATTGAATTTCGCTAGATAAGGGTCTACGACGTTAGATAGATTGTTACTTTACTAAGGAACTTTTTACACAGTATCCTTGATGAAGGTCACCTGCGCAGTAGTTAGATAACAGCTAGGAAGAAAGCCATATAATTATTTCAATAAAGTTGGTCACCAGTGATGTTACAAAAGTTAGACCGACAAGGATTATGGTACATCTTGCATGTTTGAACCGCTTGATAATAGTTTATGGACTTGCACATCTTTTACCGGTTACAGTCTCACCTCTTCTGAGCAACTTCAAGCTGCAACAAAGCTCTACTTGTTCGATATGAAAAGTTTCCCATGATCCTCAGTGAGCTCAGCTTTTTAGTTTTTTGGTGATTAACTTTATTGAATTAAGTATATCATAGACAGGAAAATAGAGGTAACTCAAAACTATTCTATTTTCCTCAAGATCTGTCGCACAAGATGGTATGGAAGAACCTGTAATACATTCTGCATGGCTAGAAATGACTCTGGGGCAGGCTACACCTGTGACAAAGATGGCAACAGAGTTTGCCTCAGCAACTGGTATCCTAGCAACCGATGTGACTTTTACTGTAAGCCAAGAAACGACTCGAAAGCAAGTTACGCATGCGACACGACGACAGGTAAAAAAACCTGCTTGACTAGTTGGGCCGGACTTGAGTGTGACTGCCGACCGAGAAACGACTCTACTGCTGGATTCTACTGCAATGCAACAACAGGGCGCAGAATTTGTCTAGACGGGTGGTTTGGCAGTCACTGCGACAAGTACTGCATACCAAGGAATGATTCTACTACTCATTATACCTGTAATCCCGAGACAGGGGCTAAAGAATGTTTGCCGTATTGGTTCGGAAAGAACTGTGATGTGTATTGCCCACCACAAAACGAATCCACAGCACAAACCAAATGTTCAGTTAATAACACACTGATATGCGCGCGCAACTGGTATGGCTCCAACTGTACAGTGTTCTGTGAGCCTCGAGATGATGACGAAGTTCACTACACATGTGATCAAGAGACGGGACAAAAGATCTGCCTTCAGGAGTGGTATGGGGAAAACTGTAGCAATCACTGCGTTCCTCGCGATAATGATTGGTTTGGTCATTTTGACTGTGGCTCTGATGGGAGCAAACGTTGTCATTCTTTTTGGCATGGCGCGTATTGTACAAAATACTGTAAGCCACAGAACAACTCAGAAGGGTACTACCGCTGCCGGAACTCAGACGGCGAGCGTATTTGTCTCGAGAACTGGTTTGGAGTAAAGTGTTTGACTTTCTGCAAAGAAAGGGATGACAGTACAGGACATTACAGATGTAATGATATTGATGGAAACATTGTATGTTTAGAAAACTGGTACGGAGATAATTGTACTGTGAATTGTGTACCAAGAAACGATTCTGAGGGACACTTTACTTGTGATATTAGAACAGGGCAGAAGATTTGTTTAAAAGGCTGGACAGGACGGCACTGTGAAGAAGGTGGGTGAAAAATATTATTACAATCATTGCGCAGTGTATTATCAATAGTATTACCATTGCGCACTGTATTATCAATAGTATTACCATTGCGCACTGTATTATAATAGTATTACCATTGTGCACTGTATTATCAATAGTATTACCATTGTACACTGTATTATCAATAGTATTACCATTGCACATTGTATTATCAATAGTATTACCATGGTGCACTGTATTATCAATAGTATTACCATTGCGCAGTGTATTATCAATAGTATTAACATTGCGCACTGTATTATCAATAGTATTACCATTGTGCAGTGTATTATCAATAGTATTACCATTGCGCAGTGTATTATCAATAGTATTACCATTGCGCAGTGTATTATCAATAGTATTACCATTGCGCAGTGTATTATCAATAGTATTACCATTGTGCAATGTATTATCAATAGTATTACCATTGTGCAATGTATTATCAATAGTATTACCATTGTGCAATGTATTATCAATAGTATTACCATTGCGCACTGTATTATCAATAGTATTACCATTGCGCAGCGTATTATCAATAGTATTACCATTGCGCAGTGTATTATCAATAGTATTACCCTTGTGCACTGTATTATCAATAGTATTACCATTGCGCCTTGCTCACTTATTAATCAACTTGAGTATAATTAAAAATATTTATTTTCGAAATTTAGCGATACCCACAATTCCAGGAACAACGCCAGAACCAATAACTTCACAAATACCACCAAAAAACAAAGAAAGCAAAGGAGACGACTCAGGTGTAGAGCTGAATAAACTATCATTAGCACTGATTCTTGGTGGATTTCTACTCTTGATTTGCATAACTGTTGGTGCGTCCATTGTCATATGCAGGTCAGTATTTTCCGCTCTATAAGACTAATTCGCTGTTTTCCAATTTCAGATCATTTCCTTGAGTATCATTTCTTTGTTTAACGGCTGCGCTTGAAAAGAGACATGACTATGGATGCAACTCAAACAAAGAGTTATATTCTCAAGACGGTGATACGTGATCTGAATTGGGGAAATTTCATGCCTAGATGGATTAGGTCCCTTTTAATATGACAATGCCGTTTATTTGGGAATTTTCTATGGGCCCTCCGGTATTTTTTCCTTCGCTAAACCAACATGCTATTGGTTTGGAAGTTCAATGTGTGCTCTGAGCTAGATCAACGCAGAGGTTGTTTCAGAGTTTGATGATGGCCCAGGAAGTGTTTATACAGGAAAAGAGATCAGCATTGCTGATTCTAAATAATTGTCTTTGTTTATTTTTTATAGCCGTAGACAAGTTAAGAGGCCGGCCAAACCTTTTCCGTATCTGAGATATCAGACCTCCGGACAAGATTCTCTTGAACGAAAGGAGGACACTCCTAACGAGAACGGAGGAGACTCGGAAACAGATATGGACCCAAAAGCAAAGCGACAGAGCAGAGTGCCTAACTTGTTGTCACAGTACGATGATGAGCAGTTTAGACAAAAAGATGTGTTTATTAATCTGCAAGAAATTTCTTGGTATGTCATTCTATATAAGCACAAAGATAGAGAGAGAGAGAGAGAGAGGCGTATCATACATACATACAGACAAACAGACATATATAAAGACAGACAGACACATATACAGACAGACAGACGGATCAGACAAAGCAAACATAAAAAGAGAAAAGAAAGTGAGACAAATAGATAGAAAGAACAAAAAAGACGAATGAAACTAAGACAATTTGACATTCTCTTTTCCACTGACTCTGCACTATTTTCATATTTTTCCCTTAATTAATCGTGCATATTCGTTGCCGATTGACAAATATATTTTTCATTTCTTTTCCAGGAACGACGATGGCTCGCGTAAAGTAGACGACAAACTAATCATGTACAACAACCCCTTGTTCACAGAGAGAACAAGCGTCACCCCAGATGTGCCCTCTCCTGACCCGCGGGTCGATCCTGTAACGGGATTGCGGGACAACAGTGACTGGGTGGCCATCTTCGAATCGTACGAGTCTTGATCACGAAAGCTGAGTCCAGGACCGAAAAAGCGCGAGCAGCGTGTTTAAAAAGCGACGCAAATCTTTAGGATTTAAATTTTAAAAATTTAAAATTTAATGTATTGTACAGAATTTTGCAATTGAAAATTTGTTTTTTAGCTTTAACAAATCTTAGGTGTATATGGTATTCATGGATCCGTTTACGTTACGCGCAACGTTTTCCCATTTCATTATTCATTTTTACACTAGATGAAAAAAATAAAGTATAAAACGGCATGTCTTATATTGGGAAACGTTGCGCATAAAGTAAAAGGGTCTTTTTCTGTAGAAAGAATTTCAAAAAAGACGAAGCTATAGCTGATATATCTCAAGATATACAGTAATAACTAGTTGAATAGACATAGAAAACGAGGTCTCGAGGTTGCTTGATGTAGAAAAATAATAGTAACAAGCAAATTTTCCATGACTGTGAAATCTCAAGCACGGCACACGGCACGGTCAAGGTACATGAAATCGACGTCGTTTGGTGAACCAATCAAAGTTCACGATATTACAGCGCGCGCATCCAATCAAGATATCGCATTTTGTGCCATTGATTTTTCACAGTCACTAAAGCTGCTCTTCAACTACTATACATGTGCGAAATTTATCACGTGACTGAGGACTAATGCGCATGCGCGAAATTAATCAAGTGGCTAAGGACGATGATGTCAATAGATGAGATTTTTTAGGACACGAAGAGAAGAATAATTTAAGAGAAGTACCACGCCGCAGTATAGCAAGGTATTTTCGTAATTATTTATTTGATTTTAAATATGATAAAGAGGATCTTACTGCGTATCTTGTTGTGTTGTGAATGCTGTAATAAAGTACCGTACGTTCCTCATTTATACGAAAACCACTCGGTTGTATTTTATATGATTTTGAATTTGGTTTCACCAATGGATGTGTAAATGTTTTTTCTTTATGACCGAAATCAATAAAGCTACATCAATATTAAGTTAGCGGAGTCACTGAATATTTTATTCTATTATTACTGTTTATTTATTACTTGATCGTCGAACTATGACACAGTGAAAACGCGCGCGTGTGCTGTGTGCTCTTATAATGCACGCTTTTCCAACCAATCAAAAGCGCGAGATTTATAATGGTTTTTTTGTAATACTTAATCAATTATGCGCAGGCCTATTAACACCCTCAAATACATTTTCAAAGAACGCCTTCTACATGGGCCAAATCCACCAAAGCAGGTTGGCTTGAAGTATGAGCACAGATCTTCCTCTCCCCTCCCCCTTGAGGACGGTTTGTGCATGATCGCACAGACCTTTCCTCTTCCCTCTCGCTCACATTACTTCTTGTATTATTTAACAGCAATGATATGCTCACAGAGCATACTCTCCCCTCCCCCTGGGGACGGTTTGTACATGTGCTACTTGCTTGTGACTTACATTGCTTCATGTAATATTTTACAGCAATGATATGCTCACAGAGCCTACTCTCCCCTCCCCTTTGGGCACGGTTTGTACATGTGACACTTGTGACTCACACTACTTCCTGTATTATCTTACAGCAATGATATAAAATCATGTCAAGTTCTCAGCGGTCAGGTTACGTCACGCCAGTGATTTGGAAAACGTCCCAGTGTAAAGACGAACTGTTGCAGGCACGGCATATTGTCATTAATCTTGTCTTACATCGATCATAAAACCAACAAGAAATGACTCGACTCTTTCTTCTGTTCGGGATTTGTCTGTTCTGGATGTTCGTCGTAAGTATTCATATTAACACTCCTGTTTACTAAACGAAGTGTTCTCACTCAATCCAAACAGAAGTGATCATACAATATACTGATAATCGACACCTTTTATTACCAATAACAAAAAGTTAAAACTCACTTAATTAACAGACATCGTTTAACTATTGCTAGAACTCAAAAGTGATGGCCAATGAGTTTAGGCCATCGAAAAATCAAAGTTGCTTAGGACTTTAAAAAGGAAACATTTTGATTTATCAAACGACCTTGGAAGGTCTGGAAGACACAGATTCCTTAACTAACCTTTTCTCAGCTTAAACGGAAATCCAGGCGCAGGGTCTGGGAACGCAGCCAATGTCATCGAGTTACATGTACCAAGCAAAGAGACTTACGTTAACCTTAAATCTTCGACATAAAATTACACAGTGCTATGAACGCAACTGAAACGCAGCCAATTTCATTGAATTACTAAGCAACGAGGGTTTACTTTAACCTTAAATCTTTGGCATAAAATTGCACAGTATACTACTGTACGTAACTGACTATGACAGTCACAATGGCGCAGCCAATGCCATTGAATTACCAAGCATTGAAGGCTTACTTAAACCACAAATCTTCCACATAGGACGTATTATGGGACTTGTACTACGTACTTGCTTTTTAAAATAACAATCCTAACCCTACCCCCTACAGGGAGAAGTCGAAAGTGGTGGTCGGGTATCGGTGGCTTTCAAACGCTACCGCAATCCATCACATCGTAAATGGAACGGCAAATGCTGTGACGTGAAGCTGTGGGGTCGTTGTAGAAGATGTGATACTTACTTCAAGATTTGCTTGACGGAGGTACCCAACCCTCGTTCCCTTAGTAGATGTACCTTGGCAAACATCCGTACATCAAAGATGGGACATGATGATATTTACATGAAGTTTAGCACTCTCAGATCCTTTACTTCTTTTACAGTAAGTACATATAGATGTAGGTTCTTACGCATACTTTCTTAGGGTCTGTCACGCAACGTTTCCCTCGGCTCCACGAACATGTGTACGTACATGTATGCTGCGTGACAGACCCTATGTTTGCGTAGAATGCTAATATAGATGCTGTTTACAAGGCTTTGGTTGTAAAACATGTTTTCCCATTGTCTTGAAATAAACTGTGAGCTACCTTGTGGAAATGACAAATATGCAAAATCCGATTTGATTTGTCGCTGCACCAACAATCATAATGCTCAAGGGAATGTCAGGTTGACTACTTTATGTTCTTGCTGCTTACCTTCGATCGGCATTATCAGTCAAGCAATCTCGATCCAAAAAGTAGGGAAGTGGCTTTCAATATTTTATATATTTATATATATTTTACACCAATATTTTTTGGAATAGCTGTATCACTAACTTGTTTCTCTGTTTTAAATTGATATTTTGCACTTTTTTAGAGCTTCAATTTGCGAATGTTTTTGAAATAAAATAAATAGAATTTAGCAGTGGCATTTCCACAGAGTGGCTCTTCATTCACTGAAATTCCAATTAGGATTTAGAAGTGGATTTATGCGGAGGGAGGAAGACCAGAACCCGGAGAACCCTCGAAGCAAAGGAGAGAACCGACAAACAACTGTGCTTTTATTGACAAAGCTCATACGTACCTACGGCATTTCATTATTTTCTTTTCACGAACAGGGTAAAGTTGGCCTGTACGTAGAGGTTTGGGACTGGGACATGATCACTAACGACGATCTCGTAGATAGAATGTCCTTGACCCTGTACGTTAGAAGACCCGACCCTAACGGACAGTCATCCTCCGTATATCCCCGGACCCTACGAGGAAGGCGCGCCACCATGGGTGTTGAATTCAAGGTATACTGCTCACCGTTCTACTATGGTCCATCGTGCACGAAGTTCTGTAAACCGAGAAACGATCGCTATGGACAATATCATTGTGATTTGAATGGTAACATGGTATGTCATGCCCAGTGGTTTGGACCTAGGTGTAACAGAAGATGCACCGAACACGATGACCAACATCACGGACACTTTAAATGCGATGCATTGGGTAACAGGTCCTGTCGTCCTGGGTGGCATGGCAAACGATGCAATAGGTATTGCGTTTCTTACGATAACGATCAGAGAGGCCATTACGTATGTAATTCTCAAGGGGTAAAGATCTGTCGCACTGGGTGGCACGGCTCAGGATGCAAGAGGTACTGTTCGCCTAAGAATGATAACGTCTATGGTCATTACCACTGTGATACTGATGGCAATAAGGTGTGCATGCCAGGTTGGTTTGGACCTTCCTGCTTAAAGCACTGTAGGGCCAACAGACGTGTGCATTGTGATAAAGACGGCAACAAAGTCTGCAATACTGGTTGGTTTGGACCTTCCTGCTTGAAGCACTGCATATCTAGTAGACGTATGCATTGTGATAAAGATGGCAACAAAGTTTGCAATACTGGTTGGTTTGGACCTTCCTGCTTAAAGCACTGCACTGCCAACAGACGTATGCATTGTGATAAAGACGGCAACAAAGTCTGCAATACTGGTTGGTATGGGAAAAACTGTACTAGATACTGTATTCAACACGATGACCACTTAAATGGCCACTACAAGTGCAGTCTACCTGATGGTAAAAAGGTTTGTCTGCCAAACTGGGCTCCACCTAATTGCAAGGTAATTTAAATGAAACTTGTTTTGATAACAAAGGTGCTAATGAAGGCGTCCGGTGGCGGACTTAGGGGAGGGTTGAAGCGACCTTGACAACCCCTTTTTGTGAAGGATTCTTTTCTAAAGAACGTAGCTTTTGCTTTTCCATATGTTGTTATGTTTAGGCCATTTTCTCAATACTGCCTTGTCGCAATCCCACTTTAGAAGTTTGTGTATTTACCCATGGTTTCTCTCAAAAGATTAAACATTTTGTCACCTTCTTAGCTTTCCATAGTTTTTCTGCATTTTTGCACGCAATCTTTTTACAAGCACAGAATTAGTTACTAACGAAAAATATTTTGCTTTGTCCTGGGTCGGCCGCAATCTTAAACTTGCCTCGAGTTTTTGCTATTCATATTGTTTGATGTACAGCATTAGAGCTCGATCTTTAGCTTGTGCGTAACGTTTTGCCCATGCATTTGAGACCGCATGTCATTCCCTACAGTATCATTTCTTTGTTTAATGGTTGCGAATGAGAAGACACATGAATGTGAATGCAATGTAAACAAAGAATCGTATTCTCAAAAGAACGACATGTGGTCTGAAATGGAAAAAAATTCCGCTCAAGCTGAAGATTTATGTCTATTTCTGGAGTCTTTTTAACTTAACTTTTTTAACTTAAATTTTGCTTGATATCATAGAAGTGCAAGAAAGGATACTACCCACCCGAGTGCAAACGTCGTTGCGAACCCCGGAGCAGCAAACAGCACGGCCACTACACGTGCGACAAACTCGACCAGAAAACGTGCTTGATGTGGTGGCACAGAGATGAATGCAAGACCTACTGTGTACCCCATCATGACCCCATCAATGGCTACTACACATGCGATTCTTTAGGGCAAAGAAAATGCATGCTGGGATGGCATGGGGAATTGTGTACCAAGCCTTGTCTTTCAAAAGATTACAACATCAGTGGTTCATGTCAGGGACTTAAAAGAAGTTGTAACGAAGGGTTCTCTCTCCCAGACTGCATGCAATGTGAAGTAGGATTTTACGGAAGGAATTGTTCTCAGAGTTGTCTCTTGCCAGGGGAGGTCAACGTAGGCAAGGTAGTCTGTAATGATTCAGGAGAAAGGATGTGTAGGAAGTGGTGGTTTGGAGAAAAGTGTGACGTGTATTGTGTGCCACATGATGACGACACAAATGGGCACTACATCTGTGACAAAAATGGGAGAAAAAGATGTCTTATGGGATGGGTAATTCCTGGATGTAAAGTAAAAAGTACCAATTAAATCAAAAACAGCAACAGTGCAATAACTGATAGGATAGGGTCCTGAAGGAGTAAAATTAGATAGTAAAATTATATCGGGGATTTACTAATGATTTCATATTGGAAAAAAAGGAAAAATAGAAATAGGAATAGACGTTTTTTCTCAGTGTTGCGCACTCATCCAGATCCACTGGAGAAGCTCGATTGAAGCTTCGGCCACAATGTTAGAAAAAGATTTTTAAGACCAAGGTTTGGAGAGAATTTTTGAAACTATTCCGACACGACACTATACGTATTATTTCAGTGTTAATAGTTTTATCTGGGGATTAATGAATTTCTAATTTTACTTTTTAATGGCCTGAGAAAAGAAATCTCAAGAAATGAAATGTTCAAATCTTTATTGATATGTTCAAATAAAGGTTTTATGGTATTTTATTTCACATCTTACTGTATATTTACACACACACAAAAAAAATTTTTTTCCTTCTAGACAATGCAGTGATGTTTTTTTGGGAGTGACATTTGTTTGATAAAAACCCATCTTCAATACCTATGATAATCATAGAAGGTGGTAGTCTCAGATTTCCATCTGTTAGGGTTTGCGCATGCATGAAACCTCAATGCCGGAAATCTGAGTCTGAGAAGACATGCAGAGGTGTGCTTTCGAATTCTTATTATCTTACTTTATATCACTATTTCTCAAAAACAGAGGTATTTTGCAGGGCACAAAACTTTTGTGTTTCCATTGCCAGTGGGAATAAAAAACCTTCAAATTTGGAAATATAGAACCCTGAAACAACCTCTGCATGGGCTGATCTAAGTCAGGACATGGCTAACTCACAGATCTAACCCTGAAACAACCTCTGGGCTCACAAATCCAATTGTAAACGATGTCTACACAATGTTACTTTTCTTTGCTTTTCTTCTTCATTTTCACAATTGATATTCTCTATTACATTTTGTCATTTGAATTGTTTTTGGCCTCTTCTACTTCTGGCTTCTTGTCATTTGAATTGTTCTTCGCCTCTTCTACTTCTGATAGTAGTTGAGCAACTCGTTGCTACGAAAAAGGAAAGAACTTATTACTATTGGCTCCAATAATGTGATGCACAGCGTTCATTTGAATTTAGAAACCATAAAACTCAACTTACAGCAACATCTAGTCGATTTTGCATTCGTTTTCTTCTACGTTGTGTCTCTGGGGCAGGTCTTYCATCTAAAACCATTAGATGAATAAGAGCATGTTAACTGGAAATGTTCGCTCTTGGTGCCTGAGCATGGTGCAATTTTTCCTGGACACAATAATGTGAACATGACAACTATCTAAGTAGCCACACCAATATCTAAGCATGAAATTTTAGGGAATACATGTAGTTTGGGAGAGGGGAAAACTTCCTTCTCTTTGTTCCCTCCCCATCTCTTTTCCCTTTAATACTGAGTGGGGTGGAAGGTCTACATATCAACAATAGAGGCTTTGCACCATCAGGTTATGGTAGCCATGACAGGAGTCACAACAATTGTCTCCTTCCCCTTGAATACTGATTTCTTTCTCATGTAAATCAGGTTAGACTGAATTCAATTGTTCCTGCCCCCGGTACTGGCTGCTATCACATGACAGTGCAAAGTCTCTATATCATAAAAGATCAAGATTAGATTAAGTACAGGAGAGCTAGGAAAATACCTGAATATGACCAGTCTGGTAGATCAGTCAATGGTCCATATCTCAAACCATCAGGAGCTTGGCCTTGCCTGTAAGTATATCAATGTAAACAACTTGTATCACGAAGAAGGTAAGCAATGGATCTCTTAACTTGCAGCAATTAATCCAGAGAGCAGCTCGATTTTAACGACAAAACAATGACTTTCAATTCTCATGATGAGAGTATTTTAAAAAAGTTATCTTTTTTATCCCCAAATTGACATTATTAGGAATATAATACCAGGTACAAAGACAAAGTATTCTATATTATCAATCTCTGACATATAATAATCTAAATGTGTAGTAATTTGAAAATGTCTTGCTCTTTCTACAAACCTTATTCGCCATTTTTGACCAGCTTGTAAACCCTGGTTTGTGCTCAACAAGCGAGTACAGCAACAAGCAGATCTTGATATCCTGAAAAATACTGTTATCATAGATAACATTAATGATCTGAATAGAGCAATGACACTCAAATGAATAAAGAAAATTTAACAACACAATTCGTACATCGAGAAGAAGAAGCAGCCGCCATTTTGAATTATGTCGAATAACCGCTGTACTAAAGTAATGCTGACTCTTAAAACAATGGACATAGCCGCTGTCCTCTTGGTTTGCGTGTTCATATGATGTCTTCACATGTAAAATGGCGGATCAAAGCATCTACAAGACATCAAGATTGTAAGCCTTTTATTCCTCGAAAATCTCATTTGATTTCAACCAAAGAGTCTTAGTAAGCTTTATTAACCTTGCGTTCTTCTGTAGGCACATCTCGCCGGATAAATTCTTCATCGAGCCGCGAGATCCACACGCTGTTGGAGAGAAAATCTTGGAGATAGACAGAGTTAGCCAAGAACTCACTCTAGCCGGTAAATTATACCATTTGAAAAAATATTTTTACACCGATTCTATTATAAATCCGAGATATATATTTTTAGTACTGCAAACTCTTTTTATTATCTACTAATTTTGTCATCTGTCAAAGAAATAAATTAGAATCGAGCATTTAAAGTGATTTTAATTAATTTTGCAATATCATACGATTTTCACGTCATCACCAAATTGGTATTCCTGTTTTTTTATATAATTATTTCTAAAGAATAAAATTTTAACGGTAATTACTAGCTTCTTTTTTATTACATTGCCTTCCTTTTCATATAGTCTCCATAACTAAACTATAGACATGCAAAAAATATTAGATTATATATTTATAACCTTTGAAATGTTCGCAGAAAATCTCAAAAGAAGCCTCTTGGAAGTCTTAATTATATTTTCCTGTACTTCAAGTTTTCAAACGTTTTAAATCATCTATTTAAATTGATGTCTAAAAGACTTGTGGTGATAATTTTTTTTGTGAAGAGATTGAAACTCCTTAAGTATAGCTTGTTGGGCCAGTATATAATATTGAAACTTGATTTATTATTTTTGTTTGTGGTTTGGCAAATGAAATTTGGCATCATAACCCAAATATGTGGAAACCTATCCCATTCCATTCACATTATTGTTTTTAAATAATCCAGTCACTTTAGGATAATCTTCCTATTTGGTTTTCCCAACGAATTCCCATCCAATTCCCAGAGAGAATGAAATTGGGAACGTGGCACTGTTTCCCATTGTTAGTTTGTTGGGAATTTTGTTTTTCTATTGGGTATTAGAAGGAAATTCCCAACAATAAATCCCAACGTTGGAGTTCAAATTGGGAATTCAAGGAAATTCCCAACAATTCCCAATTTAGGAATCCGTTTTTTTTCCTGTGATTACTTGTATTAATTTAAAAAAATTTGCCTATGTATTTTCTTCGAAGAAACTTCAGAATACCATGCCATGCACTTTTTGTTAAAATAAAGCAAGTCTTTTGGAAACAATGCAATAACAACAGAAGAATAGTAGGGGGTTAATGTGTGCATATCATTTTGCCAGGCATTCTGAAGTTGTACCTTTTTTCTATGGGATGAAAAAGAAAAAGTATTGAAATAAGAGGGATGGAAAATAGTTGATGAAGCTATA